CCATGTTGGGCTCCCTGCATGGAGCCTGCTTCTCCCTCTGCCTGTATCTCTGCCTCTCTCTCTGTGCCTTTCATGAATAAATAAATAAAATCTTTAAAAAAAATTCTTACTTTTTTGGTAAATAATTTTGAGAAGTATTTCAAAAATTTTTTTGAAAAATTTCAATATTTTTTTTCATGATTCTACTACTATTCTAGATCCTTTCCACCAAGAATTACTTTGTTAGTAATGTTAAATTTGAAAGACTGTTTATTATCTATTAAGTTGTAATACTTTTCAGTTTAAGTTTCTTCTAGGTAAATTGAAAGCCTGGACTTTGAGCTAATAGTTCAAGCAGATGGATTTTCTAAATATTTCAATGAGAAATTTGGATAAATAAGTTTTTGTATTAGATTATCTTTTTTACATGAAAGGAAGATAAGCTCAGAGCAATATTTATCAGTATAACATAAAGACATAAAGAGATTACTTTCTCACTGATCAGTAACTATTTTCATCTCTATTTTGCCATGAATAAACACTATTTTTGTTTCTCACATTAGTTTTAAATCACTGATTATTGACAAATATAATGCAAATATTGTAACAAAATTTCAAATTATTGAGGCACAGAATGACGGAAAATAAAATGCTTCATATTACCTCTGATCATTTAACCTATGCAGTGCTCTTACCTTTTCCCTAAGGTAATTTTATGTGTTAAGATTGTGATTCCACGTTTGTTGATTATAAGTAATGAAATTGGAACACTAATAAGGAAGCTTCCTATTTTCTGTAACAAAAATAAAAGTATTTCTATTGATCCTAACCTCCTTCCAGCAATCTTAAGGTGAGGATTCTGTGAGAATTGGCTACTTGGGTGGCTTTTGCATTTTACTGTGTCTGCACTATTTATGCACCAAGCACTCTTCTCATTCCAAAATATGTTTATTACATGGCAATGATTATTAACTAGGGTGCCCACAAACTTATCCTCAAATAAGAAATAGTCCTTTTATTGAATTCATACAAATTAACCAATTGACAGCTGATTCAGAGGCTAAAGAAAATATAGTAAATGCTACAAGTACTGTTAAAATATCTTTCACTAGATGAGAGAGTTTTAATGGTAGCTCATTTAGGCTCATTAGGAAAAAAATTGCCTGTTGTGTAAAATATTTTACTGAAAAACTCAGGCTGAAAGTTTATTAGGGAAATACTTGTGGAGGATTATATGACAATATGCTCTTTTTATAAATAGAACACAAAATTACATTCAGAACCACATCTGAAAAGCCAGTAACAGAAATCAAGGGAATAATAGCCTCAAATCAGGCTGAATGAACTTTAAACTTTTCTGATAGTATTAAGATACCACCAGATGGGCTTGCTTGCTTATTATTTTTTTAAGTAATCTGCATCTAACGTGGTGCTTGAATATATGACGCGGAGATCAAGAGTCACACTGTACTGATTGAGCCAGCCAGGCACCCGCATATGGACTTTATCCTTTTATTTAGATGTGCTGGTAATATATTTTTCCAATCAGAAGATAGTCTACATATTAGAACTTTCAGTTATTTTTCTGAAATTACAATGTTTCTTTCCTTGAAAGAAATACCAAGCATTAAATTGAATTGTGGCCTTTCTAGTTGTTTACCAGATAGGTAACTTAGATCACACAGTACAGTACACTCATTATTTTTACTCTTAATGATTTCCTGTAGAGAATATAGTCATTTAGTAGGAGAAAGTCTATAATAATTTTATAATCTGCTTTCAATTTGATAAGATTTTGCTTACATGACTTCTTTCATTGCACATCTTCATTAACTTCATTTGGATTTTTAGCCTCTTAAGAGCCTAATTCAGGGGCAAATGGTAAGCTCCAATTGCCCATATACCAAAAAGGTAGTACTAGCTTTACTTTGGTAATATTAAATAAGATATGAGATAGAGATAGAGGGCTGCTTCTGAGACTTCTAAGCTGTATTTTATTTTCACACAGTATAAGTTTACCAAATAGAAGCTTAAAAGTTCCTTATTCTAGTTTATTTCCTTCAACCTTTTAATTTCACTCAGATCTAATTACAGAAGACCCATTGAAAAGTAAAGGGAGAAATGATTTCTTAGTCCAAAATATAAATTATAATAAAGTTTATAAATGTTAGCCTATTCTTTGTCCCTACAAGCCTTTGTTTGAAAATGTATTTGACTGGAAATTTGCTACTTCATTACCATTTACCCTTCCATCCTTAGTGCCATTTCCAGAGAAGTAGTCCACGGTGAAGGCTTTTCTTCCCAAACTTCCATTGCCTAGCCCAGCATCTAGGATTCTAAAGATGATTAATGTTCATGTGGAATATTACAAAAAATCCAAAGTGCAACTAGACATTTAGATATTGAAGGTGGAGCATGTTCAACTTTTGTGTAACCTGAGCCAATAGTAAGGTAAAGCTAGAATTCACCCATAATAGTCTTCTCCCCAAGGTTGATATAGTGTATCTAGTACACTTACAGTCAGTACTCTCAGAGATAGTTAATATTTAGTGGATCCAGCACGTGAAGGATTTTTAGGATTCAAAGCAGACTGTATCTAACAGGTATGTTTTTAAATCAGTGGAATCCAGGCTCCAGCGATCTGTATTAGCTATATAAAGCTTAGTAGAACTAAAACTGTAACTGCTAGTTGAGGGCTTTGTCCAAATGTGACAAGCCAAGATCATCCAGCTCAGGACTGGAAATCATTTTTTGAAGTAGAGACTTCAGAATCAAGTCTTCCTTAGACTAGGCAGAGCTACTAGTGAATCGGATTAGGGTTTTTAATCATCCATAAATGAGGAACATGGTAGATGTTTGAAGAGTTAAGTATGTGTAAGCCAGAAGAAAATAGGTGTGATCTGCCAGAATTTGGGGTGATAATTAGCATGACAGAGGACCAGTACTGCTGGGGTGACAGTGATGGCATTTGTTGTTTATATCCTGACTTGTTCCAGAAAGTATATGTGGCAGTCCGGAGATCATTGATACAAGCTAAGATTCTTTATAAATAATTGGCTGGCCATCATCTTTATTAACTTAGATTTTCTTTCTTTTCTTTTTTTATTAACTTAGATTTTCTTTAAACAATAGAAGTATTAAAGATTATGAAATAAAGTACTACTATTCTGGTATTGCTAACTGAATATATGTAAAAAATTAAATATAGTCAACTTAAGTTTTAATTATATGTAACTGTTCCCTATCTTACCCTTCCCTAACCCACTAACCTCACTGAGGACTGACGAATGAAGAGTATTTGGTATTATCTAGTAGATATTTAGTAAGCAATTAGAAAAGAATGAACATACAGCTATGTGATAGTTTGGGTCAACCTAGCTGGAAAAAAAAAGATTAAGCAGATGAAAATAATTCTAATATGAATCCACTAATTGCGTTTATTTTGATAATTTATCTCTCAGCTAAAAAGTTGCCAAAGAACGAACCACAGAATCCAGGAGCAAATTCTGCCAGAGGAAGAGGAGTAGACCTTACTGAACCCACGCAGCCAACCAGGAGTCAGTGTTGTAGTAACTAAACCTCCAGTTTGAACTTCCTGGAATATTCTTCTGCTTCCTAAATGTTAATGACAGTGGAATTGGAGCATTTAACCAGCCCAGTATGACTTCCAAAAAGAAGAGACTTACGATAGAGTCAAGTTTCTAATACAGAATTATTTTAAGTGTTTTGAACTTAATTTTTAATAACATGCATGTGACCCTCTGACTAATATTTCAGAAGTAGAAAGGGGGAATGAGAGCTGTGTGTGTACGCTTGTTTCCTTGGACGGTTAGGGGAATCATTTCTCATCACCAGGGATAGAGACAAATGATGTAAACCCACAGTTAACCAGCCACTTCTATGTAAAAGATTTGGAACTTATTAATTTGGGCTTTTCAAAAGCATTCTTTTTTTTAGAAGGAAGTTCTAAAGATATTTATGCTTAGCTACAGTATTCAGGAAACTGGTAATTTCTCTTAGTATGCATATTTAAAATGTACATTCCACATTTTAACAGATTAGCCACAAGAAAACAGTCCCACATCTTCAGGGGGAAAAACACAAACATTAGTGGCATCTAAATTATAGCCAGTCGTGGTATTTTTAGTGGGTTAAAAAAGGTCAAACGTAACCTCATCTTGTTTTAGGAATATGAAAATTGAATGCATCTTGATAGTGTTCCCTTCAAACATGTGAGCTCTTCAACAGAAATGAAACAAACCAGGTGTCTGTGATTTCTGTTTAATCACTGCTGGCCATTACATAGGTTTTGTTGTTTGGGGGCAGGGAGGGGGCCTTTGTTCCCTTTGGACATAATATAGTCAATGCACTAACAATTATGTACATTCAAACTTGATTACTTTAAATTCAATTTTCAGCTGTACTGTAAATAGAGTACTGCACTGTAGTCTCCATATATGTTTATTAATTTCCTGTAATATTTAAGAGTTGCTTAAAAGTATACAAAATGTACAGTTACTAAAACAGCTAATTTTTCCTTTTCTCTCCCTTTGAAAGGAAGGGGCTTCAGTTGTTCCTACATGGCTAGAACCATAATAAACAATGTACCAGTAATTTGTAACATAACTATTGCAGTATGTTAGTAACAGTCTTGCAGCCTTGTTTTCCAGAGTTCATTTTATTTTGATCAGTTCAGTATATTGCACTAATTGTTTTAGGTATTTTCATTATATGAAATCTACCATGTGTCAGAGATGATTTAATCTATTTAAGTGTTGAACTGCTAGCAGAACTTGTATATTTACAGTAATTCAGAATTAGTAAGGAAAACAGTTCACCAGTGTTTAGTTTTATATTGAGGTGCTCAGGTTGGAATAAAGTGGTATAAAAAAGCAAGTACTGGTTTTTCTCTTTCTTGGCATGGAACAGTGAACATATATAAATAGTATCATGTAACCTAAAATAATGCTTTTATAGTTTCCTTAATATGTTCTTTAAAATTTGTGTGGTATTGATGTATTATCCTAATAGCTGGTTCTTTGAAGAACTGTCTTTACATTTTTGTACTCTTCGATAATCAGAAATTTATCTTTTTATGTCAGAAACTGATACTCACTTCCCTTGAGAAGTATTACCATGACTGTAATGTTGTCTCTGGATCCAGCCGCTAAAGCCGCACTTACAAGTTCATGGCTAATATACTTGGCTGCACCTTCATAGAAATTTTTAATGCATGATTCTTTTTCACTTGAATTTTTTGACACATCTACACTGGTTGGTCCATTTCTTTCTTTCTCACTGTATAGATGATGATTAGTCATTTCTGTTGGAAATGTGTGTGCATTTTTAGGGTTAGAATATTTTGAATCAAACAAATTTTCTTTTGTATTTATATTTGGCACACATTCTGTAGATTCAGATTTATACTGAAACAATATACGGATATTACTTTCTGATTTAGTATTGCTTAGTTCATTGATTAGGAAAGGCTCTTTGGATGGTAAAGATTGATTTTGTGTGATAGAATAGTAGGTGTCTTTATATACTTGAAACATTGTCATTGCCAGTGCAGTGACTTCCTTTGTATCCAAAACTTCCCAGAGTCCATTAGTAGCTAAGATAAGGAATTGGCATAAGTCATCTATAGGGACAGAGATAGTTTGAGGTGCTGGGATAATGGATTTTTTCAGTTTGAGATTTCCATGAAATCCAAGTCCTCGTGTGGTTTTTATTTGCCCTTCTAGGAGCCCATATGGTTCATTTGAACTAATTATTGCTCCATTCTTAAGTAATCTTCTTCTTTCGGTTATGTTTCTCGTAGTGTGTTCTTTGGTTATGCAAAAACCTTTTCCATTTCTGCATAAGACTGCTTGTACATTACCTAGAAGATTATTAGAAAAAATTGATCTTAGAGATTTAGTGACCAATTGTATCAAAGTACGCTTTTAACTTTATTCTGTTTCAGTGCATAAATAGGCCATTTTAAAATATTTTTTACATGTGTGAAATAATATTGGGCGATTTATGGTCATTAAGATTTGACTGAGAGGTCAGTTTATCCCTCATTTTTAAGTAACTTAGTGTTCAAAATACTGCACTTAATATTAAAATAACTTAAAACTACAAATAATAAAAAATAACTATCAATTTTTTATGAAACAGCTTCTGAATATTTATACAGCCAAGAGTTGAACTTTTTTATGACCAACATATATTCCATAGGGCAGACATTTTTTAAATGTTTAAATAAATGCCTTTTTAATTAAAAACAAGCATTGATTTTTTTTTTTTAAAGTGGAGTTTGATAGTTTTGTAACTGGTAAAAGTTAAAACCTGAACATATATATAGGTGTGGGTGATGAAAAAAATTAGAATGCCACTGTTAATGTCAGTCTTAATAGTTTCATGTTGTGTGGTTAAAAAGAAATTAAATCGATTAGCCATGTAAAGAAAAATCCATATGTATTATTAATGTGTTAAATGGATAATAGCTAGCCAATATTAAATTAAACCCTTTGATTGAAAACTGAAATCTTAAAAGTTGATTGTAGTTTGTTCATGGTTCATATGAACCTGTGATGTGTGCTTCGTTGAAATCTTAAGAAAATCTAAACAGTATTCTGAACAGATTGAGGGATAGTTGTAATACCAAAACTTTCTTTGGTTTATTAAAAAACGATTCACAGAATTTTTTAGTTTATAAGTAATAAGTTTTTCTTGATATGGAGTCATTTATCATTTATAAAAGGGTATATCAATTATTCTGAGATGAGGTTAAAGATGTTTGAATATTACAGTGCCTTTGAGAATTAAAATTCCTTGGATCATGCAGAATTTACAGTAGAATACTCTGGTTTCAATCATAATACCATACCTGGAATCTGAGTTTTGTTGCTACAGAGGTTCAATTCTATCCCCAGTTTTTGAGGTAAAGAAATTGAGATTTTAAAAGGCTATATAGTCTGTGCAATTAGTATGGTTGGACTGAAAGAGCTTAAATTAATGAAGAATTAGTTCAGGCATAGGCTGAGCCTATTGGCTCATTTATATAATGGGAATTATAAAAATAATGTGGAAAATGTTTTTAAAACCAGAGACGTGTGATAGTCCTGAAAACTACATGACCTCTTTCACTTCTCTGGGTTTGGTTATTAATATTTTGTATTAGCTTGTCTTTTTTGCTGGTCTTTCTACTTAAACTCTGCAGAAAGAAAAAGTAAAATTCTTGACTTTTGCTGAGTTATAAATTATTACTATTCCAGCAAAGCAGCATGGATTGATACTGAACATGCCACCTGGGTAAATTGAATTGTTTTATTAGGAGGATATGTGATTCAATATCTCTTTTAAATTATAATTTCCTATTAATGTATGTACATACACAAAAAAAATAATGTAACCATTGCTTTGAAAATGCAGGAGACATTTGGCTCAGAAGAGTCGAATCCACTGACTTCATAAATGTCTTATTTGCATGTGGCAAGTCAAAGTCCATTCAGCAAAAAGAAAAAGTATTATTCCTCTGTTGTGTGATTTGAAAATAATTGTTACAGTGGAATGGTGGTAAACTGGTATTTTTTAGTTGCGTCTACAGAGATTGGTAAGCATATTCTTATGCACTAGGTGCCTTTCTCTGCCCCCCCCCCCCCCCCCCAATTGCTGTGCTGGACAGGAAATGCCATTTTGGCTTATTTTCCTATTGTGAACATCCCTTGGGCTTAGTACAGAACTTTCTTGAAGGGATATTAAATCCTGGTTGCACTTTTCACTCTACCATTTACTTGCTGTAAATACTTCTGGTTGACAAAGTTTATCCTGATGAAAAGGGAAATAGTGCTTCCTGAATAATTCACATTCTTTCCTACGAGAATGGTGCATGAAGGAAAAAGTAAAGAAGTACCCGCTATATCTCAACTATTCATGCATAGCCCAGGAAGTGTAGAGGATACGTAAGATTCAGGCCTTGGAGAGTACTGTTGGAACAAATGAGGAAAGATTGTGCAGAGTTAATAATTGTATTTCCTGGGCCTCAGTTGCATATGCTGTCAGCTGCAAATTGGGTTGTTGAAAGCAGTTGACTACATTAAGCTGAGAGCTAGGAAAGAATAATGAAAAGTCCCAAGGAAAATGGGAAATTGGAGGAAGATTTAAATAACACTGTAAGTTCAAGTGTTTGGAGAATTGAAAGGGGAGAGTGACCAGTCATGACAATTTAAAGATTGTCTTTAAAGAAAGGTTCCTGTAACATCTGTGTGAAGGAAATGAGAATAGGCAGTGAGCTGATCTGAAGACCCTTAAAAAAGTTTATGTGAATGTGGGCATAAATATTTCAAATTTCTAGACAAAGGTACCAGCTTCAGCAGTTCGGAGAGATTGTGCTCTTCAGCAAACACTATCAGAACAAGGGTGGAACAGGGTTACTGCAAGAGGGTTACAGGGGGATTAGAGAAACTGCTTTGAGATGATACTCAAGCCTTTTCAAGATGGCATGTGTAGTCAGGCAAAAGTGTTCCTTAGGCAGAGAGCAATTATGCAACTGTCTCCTTGCAATTGCTGGGTTACCTTCAATTTAGGAAAATGAAGGGTACTCCTATAAACTTCAAAGTGACCTTAGAATCACAAACAGAATTCTAGATCTGAATGGGCGAAATCATGATTTTTTTCCAGCTATAGCTACTCACTATTGAAAATAATAGGAAATTTTTAAAAAAGAACTGAAGGAAAAGAAGAAAAATTATATGTGGTAGAAGGAAAAGGAAACATACCTAGGATGTAGGAGTGCCCAGAAGTAAAAATGTAGCACCCAAGAATAAAAAATTCCTTTGGAAGAAATAACTTGGGGAAGTGGAAACACTTGGGCTTTAATTCCAACTTTATGTGACCTTCATTTAGTCACTTTATTTCCCTCAATTACAGTTTTCCACCTGCAATGTTATTTTTTGTCAAGGTTATTGTGAAGATTTAAGAAGGTAATTTAGTAAGAAATTTGATTAAAGGGTTTTTTTTTACCCCCCTTTGGGTTCCATGAAGGGGAAACCAGAATAGGCAATCCAAAAAAGAGATGAAGCTATAAATGTTTGATTTCAGACACACTAAAAAACAAAACAAAAAAAACACTTAATTTTTTAAAAAAGATTTTATTTATTCATAAGAGACACAGAAAAGCAGAGACATAGGCAGAGGGAGAAGCAGGCTCCACGCAGGGAGCCTGATGTGGGACTCGATCCCAGATCCAGGGATCACACCCTGAGTCAAAGGCAGGTGCTCAACTGCTGAGCTACCCAGGCATCCCAAAACTTGTAATTCTTATGTGGTAGATTTATAGGCTTAAAGAAGTAAGGAGCAATAACTTAGACTTTGGGAAATGAAATCGTTATTGGGGAAGGAAAAAGCAACTGAAAAGGAGCATGAACAAATAGGAAATTCAAACATGAATGAGATCTACCTAAATTGGAAGCATAACAGACCTGTATATAAATTAGGTCAGGGAAACAACCTATATCCAGTTTGTCTGCAGGACTCATTTTGGCAGAAAAGGCTGAATTTGTTTGTATGCATAGACACCAGGTTTATGACTTCCTACTGATGATCGGCATGAGAGCCTTGCCGATGGGAGCTAGTTTTCATTGAGTATTCAAAAAATACCTTTGTTCATTTTGTAGGCTATATGAGCATGAAACTCAAATTCACCGTTGTACATCTGGAGCCTAACAATACTTTACATATCAGTAACAACTATCAAGTATTTGCTGAATGTGTTTTCAGAATCAGATTTGTATATATGAGTTCACCAACATACTCCAAAGAAAGGAGAAAGGGAAGGTAAAGCATGTAAAAGGTGTTATTTAAGAATATGTTTTTTTGTTTTTTGTTATTTTTTACATAAAATAAGGTGATTCTGGAATTGAATTAGGTTTTAAAGAAAAAGGATGGGGCTGGAAGTAATTATCAGAAATTTGTTTTAGTGACCTAGTTTTGTGTCCCATGAGCTCCTTCTACATCCGGAGACCAATGATAGCTTTACCCAATGCTTTTCTACTATTCACAGTTCCTCAGTTGTTGCCCACATCAAGCCCCTGTCCTCTTCTCATGGTTACCAGGTGATTCCTTTGTCTAATCCTTACAACCTTGAGGTAAGGATACCCACATTTTAATACACAAGAAGAATGAAGCTCACCAATTTTATAAGGTATCGCTAGTACAAAAGTAGTTTCTGGGGCCTCATTAAAAGGAATTATTAAGAACAAATATGTACTGGAGCACCTGGGTGGCTCAGACTCTTGGTTTCGGCTCAGGTCATGATCTCAGGGTCTAGAGATCAAGCCCCACATCAACCTGCACTCAGCACAGTCTGCTTGAGATTCTCCCTTGATCTTGTCCTCCTTTGTCCTTTCCCCCTACTCCCTACTCTTTTGTGTGTTCTCTCTCATTCTCTAAAAAAAAAAAAAAAATTGTACAATCTAGACCTAAAGATAGTGGGACAGATACACTAAACCACTCACTTACAAATGCCTGTTTACCATTCCAGAAATCCTAGGGGCCTTGAGAATGATCTTAAGAAATCTACTGTCTTTGCTCTATGAATGGAGCAACAAAGCCTGGATGACAGTGCATCTATTTACAGTTTATTGAATATTTTAAGCCCACTATTGAGACCTACTGCTCGGGGGAAAGATTGAAAATATTACTGGTCATTGACAATGCAATGGTCACGCAAGAGCTCTGATGATGCACAGCAATATTGATGTTTTCATGCCAGCTAACACAGCATCCATCCTGCAGCCCAATGGATCAAGGAGTCATTTTGACTTTCAAGTCATTACTAAGAAATACTTCTATGAGGTTATAGCTACTATAGAAAATTTTTCCTCTGATGGGTCT